AAAAAAAAAAAAAGGGCAAATGTGCTAAATTGTATTGTTAAGGATTTCCACTTTTATTAGATATTTTATACAAAGAATTATATCAAATGTAGTTCATCTCTAAATCAAGTAATTGGTACTTATAAGAACTTTCAAAGTCTTAAATAAAAATAAATTTCCTCATAAAGTACATTCAAATTCTACAAGGAAAACAAATTTCTAAGCAGTCCCTCGAAGATAAAATATATTCAGGGTTGAGAAAGTGTAGAAATAAACATGTACTAGAGTAATAGACTTAAAACCACTTTCAGTTAAAAGGGCATTCACACAGATATCCAAAGATAAGTTCATGTCACTTAAGGCCTGGCCATCTGTGTATGACCACCTTATCAGTCAACAGAGATGTCTTCTCTTGTCTGTCTTCTCTTGTCTGTCACAGGGCCTTTAATTAATACTTATCGACCTCTTTTCTTACAAAGTGAACCAGATATTTAATCACAATCATAACTGAGTAACATAACATCAACTTTGAGGGGAAATATGAATTCAGACATTTCATAAAATAAAAACTGGATAATCTAAAATTTACAAAATCTTAAGCATCATTAACTTTAATTTATGGGAGTAAAAGTTATTTTTTTCAAAATTCTAATCCATAATATGAAACTTAAGTATATGAAGAAAACAAGCACTGTAAGTCACTGCGATGTCTAAAAGCAACACTACCCAGACATTCTCAAATAGTCATTTCAACCCTGTTTTAAAGGTGTCTGAAAAATATATACACAATAAATGCTTCAGTCTTCCCAAATCACGCATGAAGCCGCTATTAGTCCACAATAATTACCATAACACCTTCTGGGGATAATATTTAAAGAAAAATGACCAAGAATGAATGCAAAAAGAATTGTCTATTACCATATACAAGCTGGGTTATCTGTGATCGCAGAATTTTAACAAATCAATGTTTTGAAGTAATCTAAACTGTAGTCTTCTAAAACAACAAGAACCCAGGGCGCCTGGGTGGCTCAGTCATTTGAGCGTCCGGCTTCAGCTGAGGTCATGATCTCACGGTTCATGAGTTTGAGCCCTGCATCAGGCTCTGTGCTGACAGCTCAGAGCCTGGAGCCTGCTTTAGATTCTGTGTCTCCCTCTCCCGTCCCGTCTCCTGCTTGCGCGCTCTCTCTCTCAAAATAAATAAACATTAAAAAAATAATAAAAATTAAAAAAATAAAATAATAAGAACCCTACCATAAAATTCAAAACTATTACTGGGATTGTTAAAAAAAAAAAAAAAGAGAGAGAGAGAGAGAGAGAAAGGGGGAGAAGGAGAATGAGTGACAGATAAGGCACCTATCTAAAAATTCATCCTTTCAATAAGAAAATTCTCATCAACTGAGAATGTATGATTACATAACTTAGGTGATGAGCACATACATTTTAGATTACAATTTCTTTCCAAAGAGGATATATATACATACATAGAGGATATGTACATATATATCTATACACACGCAAATATATATGTAAACATAAGTTACCACCTAATAATTTCTTTAAGTGCTTTAATGTCTCATGAAAGTATGAAGCGTATTTATGAGCTAAATTTTAATAGGATAATGATTCTCACCATGGTCCAAAGTCAACAGCTTTTTTTTTGAACAAATTACTATCTTTCACAATAGCTTAACAAACATGACCTAACTATTTTTGCTAAAACCCAGTGTTAACATACTAACCTTAGTACATGCCTATGACAGGGAAGCCAAACAAAAACTAAGTTACACTTTGGTGTTCCTGTGTTTTCTTTCCAAACGAGGGCTACTTAGAACATGAGCTCTCTACGCTTAACGGATATTGTACCATTCTTTCCAGTTGAATGGACTGGTAATGCTGCTTTTTAATAAAGAGTCCGAATCAATCTGGGCTACGTTTGAGATTTTGTAAATTTCTTCCTTTTTATATTATACATCCTGGTGAAGGCTGAGCCCATGATGAAGAGAGTGGATGTAAGTCAGAGGTCACAAGTTCTGTAGGCTTCCAGGCAGTATAAATAATCCTCATGGGAAAAATAGGTTTGTGGATTCCATTCACATTTTCAGAGCTCCAAAAATACTTGCAACTAGTCTAAATCCACAGGGATAATATGGTAGTCTAACTACATCTTAAAAATTGAAATTATGGATTTTTGCCTCATCCAGAAACAGAAACAGTAAGGAGGATAAACAGGTGAATTCCTCACAGTCTGTAATCACTGGTGCTAATCAACATTCTGAAGACTTTTCATATGAGAATGTAGAGAGGCCCCTCACATCTCCCCCTCACCTCAGAGTAATGGTACATGCAAAATAAACTCATTAGTTCTAACACCAGAGATCACATGACAAACATCACTATGAAAACCAATCCACCTTTTAATATCTACTTCACATCAAAGATCGGCATCTCTGCCCTTCTTTAACAGCGTTCTAGATTATAAGAAACACAATTATGCCAGCCACGAGTAGCATTACATTTTCGTAACTGGTCCTCAGCACTGACATTAGCAAATCAAGTTATAAAACGGAAACTTTAGGATATCACATATAACAAAACAGATAAATGTATAAATTAGATAAAAAGAACATGTCATATCAGAATAAAGCACAGACTGAAAGGGAGTTGTTAGAAAGTTGAGAGAGAATACCTTCATTTACTAAGAAACAGGTATGTAAAGCAGGAGTAGAAGCAGGGTCAGAGCCAGAGTGATCAGCATCAGACCGAGCGGAAATGACAGGAGCAGGAACTTGCAGAGAAAACAGAAGAAATAAAGAGGAGAGAATTGAGGTACAGCGGCTTCTGAAAAAAAGCTCAGTATTAGTGAAGAATGAAAAACAAAATTAGCAAAACATAGTAAATGGAGAACTGAAAAATGATGTTTTAATCAGAAGGGCATGATCGTCAAGGATTACAGCAGGGAAATGATACATCTGGACAGTAACCACATTGTAGTTCAAATTCTATTTAATATTCAAATTTATCAATGTATCAGCTAATATAAAAAACAGTTCTAAAACAACTAAGACTACAATGAAAAAATGACAGACATTAAGGATTAGCAAAAATATAATCCAATTTTTAAAATGTACCACATACTGAAAAGTTTTTGCTGGTCTTCATATTGTCGACTACATTTTTCTAATAATTTATTTCCTAACTTTACGTGTAAGTTATTTTCTTAACATCTGAAACCAACATCCACTGAGATCATTTCAATTTTCCACACTCATTTTATAAAAATACAATTTAAAACACACCAACTTGTATAGAATATATGTTCTTTTGTGAGAAGAACCCTAACATAGCTTCATTCTTTGAAGTTTAAAAAATATTTTTTATGATACAAATGCTTTATATTATAAATTACTGAGTGTTCTAATCCTTATATAATACATGCAACAACCCACACCCCACACTCCCAAAAAGTAATGTTACCAGGAAAATGTTTCAGCTTAAATTATCATATGAAAAGGCAAAAAGACCGTATGGCACACACATTCTACAACTGGAGGTCAATGTTAAGATTTAGAGGTCACCATTTGACACTTCCTTCCTATGGAGAAATTACCATATGTCATGCACAAGCATCTTCAAATTAATCCCTCTCCTTTCTTCTGTCATTGAACAGCAATAGGTTGGGGCTCCTGAACAGATTAAGCATTGTCCACTGAATGATATGTTTGTTTTTCATGCAGTGAAGTTCCTTTGTAGCTACAGGACAGCTGCATGAAAACAACTTTTCATAATTTCCACACAAATGCGTCATAATGTCAATCAGGCACGCGTGAGGTGGTAAACAGCACAACTAAGAGAAGCACATGAACAGTAATAAAAAGCAGGAAATCCAATTCCATAAACCCTAAGAAGCACATCTTGCACATATGAAAGTTTCATTTGGGAAATTATATATTTTTTTTATTATCACAGGCCTGTTTTTTGTTCCTTATGAAATTAAAATGACTTTATAATGTTATGTTTATGAAAAACACAGAGCTTTTAATGGCATATTTCATAAGATCTTCAAGAATTCTATTGTAATCTTATAAAGAAATCTCAAATATTTCTTTTTTTTTTTTTTTCAACATTTATTTATTTTTGGGACAGAGAGACACAGAGCATGAACGGGGGAGGGGCAGGAGAGAGAGAGTGGAGACAGAATCGAAATGAGCCTGTGTTCTGGGCCATCAGCCCAGAGCCTGACGCGGGGCTCGAACTCAAGAAATCTCAAATACTTCTATGTTCCACTTAATAAATTTTTCATTTTTTAAATCATTTTTAATTATGAATTCAGTTATTATGGCCTAGAAAATATTCACTTCCTTATGCAAAAAAGTTGGCAAGCCTGGTTGGCGAAGAGAATATTGTCAGGCTTTAGCTTTCATGCTACCAAAATTGTTGACAAAGTTCCTCTGGTGATTTTCAACAAGTGGGACTTTTTTCCTTTTTAAGAGAAATTATAGAAAAGGAGAAATTATCATCATCCCTCAAAAGGCTGTGGTGACTGTATCTGATTTTTCTCTTAAGTGAGAGGACACCAGAATTAGAACGTGAGGAAATTCCATACAAATGAATAAAAGTGCAGGACGGAGTGACCATTACCCTGGCCAGGACAAATAAGTAGTGGGATAAAAGCACATCTTCTCTAAGTCACAGCATAAAGGAAAGCAGAAATGCTACTGAGGAAATTGCTAGAATAAGTAATAATAGGTCTTAATAGAATAATGTTCAATATATGTAAGTTTATTTTTATAATACATGTAAGTTTGTTTTTAAAAATCTCTGCTCACCAAAAAATATTTCATTCAGCCTACTTCATAACTAAAACTGCAGAATCTAGAACTACTTTTATAATTAATTGAGAATACTCAAATTCTACTTGAGCTTTCAAAACTGTTCACACACAGAAAAAAAATCAGCAACAGAAATTTAAAAAGTACTACTTCTAAAATAAAAAGCTCAAGATTTAATGACAAATAAAAATGTGAAGAGGTCATATGTAGCACTGAGTATTAAAAATGTATACCATAAAGCATAAATGAGCATTTGGTTTCTTAAAAAAAGCGGCAATGATAATGATCAACTGGCTTTCTCTTATTAAGGATTTAGTAAAACTTAAGAGCAAAGTCTCAACGCAACTTCCAGTGATGATAGAAGTGGCATAAGTTCTATTATTTTACCTAGGAAATTTCCTTAATTTCGCAGCTAAGATCCTCTCTGACTACTTACTATCACATGAACAGATAGGCAAAGATAAATGAACCCATGGGGTTAACACACACGTGCACACATGCTCTCTCGCTTCCCATTAGATAGCATATATACATGTACAATACCCAGGGTTTTCTGTTTTTGAATAAGCCTATTTCAATCTTCATATGAAATCGGACTCTGAATTCCAGTGTTCCCTACTGCCATTGTGACATGAAGAATGTATCAAGGACAGAAAGTGAACTTACTTTAGGTAGCAAGTTATTGGTCTAAACCTCAGTAGCCTCCTGGCACAAGAACACAAACAGCCCTTTCAATACATTTTTTAGGCGGAAAAAAAAATCTAGAAGATAAAGATTTCTGTAAAACCAAACGCAATGCTTAAAGAAGTTTTTCCAAAGCTTAACACTAACATATAATTAACATTATTTAATAATGAATCACTTTATCTAAAGAGCTGTGTGATAATCATGAAGCATGGAGAGGGGTGGATAGAGGAGAAGGAGGCATTCCACACTAAGTCTTCCATCCAAGAGAGATCTTAGAGTAACATCTGCCCTTTTATAAACTTCCTTTATGTCTACACTTCTATGTCTCAGGGAGTTGAGCATTCTCATCATCTTTTAAATCAACATGAAGCATTAGGATAAATTGTTGATCAAGCAGTCTACAGAAAAAAGGGTTTCCTTAAAACACCATGGAGAAAGAGCACAAAAAGTCTAACGGCAATAAGGAAGTACAAAGGTCCAGGAAATAGAGAGGATAAGCACCTACCGTAAAGCAGAACGAATTAACAGCCCAAGATGCTGTTCTGACAGACATACATCAAGGCAAAATAACAAGTGCTGATAATGTTTGAAAAATAGTAACTCTACTTAACCTATAGATCACCACTGGATTATATCAGACTTGGAATAAGTTCAGATGCAATGACTTGGCCTATAACTCCAGCCAGTGTTCAAAAAATAAAACTTAAAAAAATGTTTAAAAATCCCACTTCTGTAAAAGGTCTCCTTCATTACTAATATCCAAAATACATAAATGAGCTAAGACCCAAAACAATGGGGGCTGGGGGGGGAGAGTCTGAAGTTTACTGCAGTGAAAGTAAGGCTATTAAATTTTTCTATTTCATTTAATTAACAATAAGCCCCTACTATGTGCCAGATATTGGGCTAAGCATACAAAGAACTCATAAAGATGAGCCAAAGTTACTCAGTTACTGAGAGTCTGGCAGGAAAAGCAAATAACTAATTAAAATATTATCATAAATTACACTTGTCTGAATCTCCTCCATTACATAGAAGCTCCTTGAAGGCAGAGATTTGTTATGTCAGCCTTGTAGATTCAGCACCTAGTTACTGACATACTGACACTAGAAACATAGAGAGAAGGTATCTATAGATCCATTCATTCAAGTATTTATTGAGTACCTTCTGTGTACCAGTCACTGTTCAAAGCACTTGTGCCAAATTAGTGAACAGAAAGAATAAAAGTCTGTCCTTTGAGCTTCCAAAGACCAAAGTGACATGCCAATTTTTATTAAAAGGCATATAAATTCAAACACAAAATTTTAAGGAGTCTTCAGGTCCATCCAATAACCTGATATATGTACTCCATATATGTTTCTTGCTACAGACCCTGGAAAAAGATGGTGAGAAATTATTGGTTAATTTACATAAATGCTTCCTGAAATAATTTAACAATGACTACTTCCTACTTCAAGTTTAGACAACCTGAATTAAATACATTTCTGAAAAATAAAACAGCAGATATCGTTACACAACCTTAGAACCTTAAATTGCTTAGATTTGCTTCCACACCTACCACTGAGTAAAGACACAACTACCAGCACAGACACAGTGTCACAATCAAGATAAGCACTAGAGACACAGACCAAAGACTTATGCCATGAGATTACTGAATTGATCAAGAGAAGTACAGTATGTCAGAATGTAGAGAAGCCTAAAGCGATGGGCAGATTTAGGGCTGTATAACCATGAACAAAAAGTTAGTTTGACATCTCTGATCCCTTTCTCAAGTGAGATGTTTTATAAAGCGCACAATTGAGTATCTAATAAATAAAAACTGTCTCTATCAAAAAGTACATGACTGGTCAGTAAATGTTAATTATTGGCAAAGACTGAATTAACAAGCCCACTGCTAGACAAAATAAACCTCCTGTGAAGAAATTATTTTCCAATGAAATACCCTGATAATGTGTATGAGAAATTATGTTAGCTGAACTCTCCAGATCATCTTTATTCTCAGACCCAAATGTCTATGAAAGGTCCAATCCCCAGCTAAAGTCTTTACTCTGTATAGATTATTTTGCAGCTGAACAAGTATTAGCCAACATGTAAGTGACAGTTTATCGAAAAGGAGCATATTCATGTTTGCAATCCAGCTTGAAAAATGGATTGTGAGTCAATGTGCACTGCAGTGGGAGTCAGGAAAAGAAAACATAAGGAGAGGAAAATGTTTAAAAGAAAACCAAGGTAAGAGAAGTCAGAGCAGAAAGACGAAATATAATACCCTAAC